AGGGGGATATGGGGCCAGTAGGGGGAATATGGGGCCATTATGGGGGATATGGAGCCAGTGGGGGGGGATATGGGGCCATTAAGGCAGATATGGGGCCGTTATGGGGGATATGGAGCCATTATCGGGGATATGGAGACATTGAGGGGATATGGGGGATATGGGGCCATTATGGGGGATATGGGGCCATTGGGGAACACAGCCAGACAACGTCACCTCGTCGCCGCTCTGTAGGACGTCGGCCACCAGGTCGTTTGGGGCCAATAGGGCCCCTTCTTTGTGTAGGGTCATATGGGGCAGCAGCCCCACAGCCTGCAGGTGACGCTGGGCTGCCTGGGAGCAGAGCCAGGAGACCGAGCGGCTGTGGGGACATTGGGGACATCGCTGGGGACATCGCTGGGGACAATGGGGGGATGTGGGGGGATACAGGGACATTGGGGACGCTGGGGACATTGGGGGCACTGGGGGCAATGGGGGCATTGGGGACCTTGGGGACACTGGGGGGATGTGGGGGAATTGGGGACAGTGGGGACATCATTGGGGACAATGGGGGGATGTGGGGACATTGGGGGGTATGGAGACATTGGGGACATTGGGAATATGGGGGCATTGGGGGGATGTGGGGACAGTGGGGGGATATGGGGACATTGGGGACGTTGTGGACATTGGGGGCATATGGGGGGATGTGGGGACATTGGGGTCGTTGGGGACATTGGGGGATATGGGGACACTGGTGTATATGGAGACACTGTGGGGTGGGAGGGTCCCTTTTGGGTCCCTTTGGGATGGGACTCCCTTTGAGGTCCTTATGAGGTCTCATTGGGGTGGGGGTCTCATTGGGGTGGGGGTCTCTTTGGGGTCTCTATGGGGTCCCTTTGGGTTGGGGGTCCCTTTGGGGTCTATTTGGGGTCCATTCGGGGCAGGGGTCCCTTTGGAGTCCCTACGGAGTCCCCATTGGGTCCTTTTGGGGTGGGGGTCTTTTAGAGTCCCTATGGGGTCCCTTTGGGGTTGGGGTCCCTAAGGGGTCCCATGCGGTCCCTTTGGGGTGGGATCGCTTTGGTGTCTCTTTGGGGTGGGGGTCGCTTTGGGGTCCCTTTGGGGTCCTTTTGGGGTCCCATTTGTACCCGTGTGGGACGGGGATGAGGAAGAGCAGCTCCTGGATGCGGACCCTGACCCGGATTGGGGGCGCAGAGGGGGGGGCGGGGGGCAGCTGTGGGGAGAGAGGTGGGCTCAGTCCTAATCCCAATCCTAATCCCAATCTTAATCCCAATCTTCGATCCTAATCCCAATCCCAATCCACAATCCCGATCCCAACCCTCCATCCTAATCCCAATCCGCAATCCTGATCCCAATCCTCCATCCTAACCCCAATCCCTATCCACAATCCACAATCCCAATCCCAACCCCAATCCTCGATCCTAATCCCAATCTTAATCCCAAACCCAATCCGAACCCCACCCCCAACCCAACCCCCATCCCAATACCATTCAATCCTAATTCCAATCCCAATCCCATCCCAATCCCAAATCCAATCCAATCCCAATCCCAATCCTTGATCCTAATCCCAACTGCAATCCCAAATCCAATCCCCAATCCCATTCCATCGTAATCCTAATCCCAAACCCAATCCCAACCCCATCCCAGTCCCAACCCAATCCCCAATCCCGATCCCAATTCTAATCTCAATCTCAATCCTAATCCCAAACCCTATCCTCAATCCTAATCCTAATCCTGATCCCAAACCCAATCCCATCCCAGTCCCAATCCTGATCCTTATTCTAATCCCACTCCCAATTCTCAACCCTAATCCCAATCTCCGCTTCCACCCCAATCCCAAACCCAATCCTCAGTCCCATTCTATCCTAATCCCAATCCCCAATCCCAATCCCCAATCCTGATCCCAATTCTAATCCCAATCCCAATCCTAATCCCAATCCCAACACCAATCCCATTCTATCCTAATCCCATTCCCAATCTGTGACCCAATCCCA